TCGAACGTCGGCGATGGCTTGCTGCACTGGTGCGCGCTTGTGTAGAGCCGGGTTGTTCAAGTGTGTAGACAAGCTTGCAGACGGCGCCGCCGCAGATTCGGCAATGCTAAGGTTCTCGACGCCCTCAGCAGGAGCTGCGGCAGGTGCCGAGGGGTCCTCGTCGTCGAAGCTGGAAATAGCCCTGTTGGCGGCGTTGAGACCTAGAGGCAGGACCTCGGGACCGGAAGCAATTAAATAAACCTTTGTGAGGTGTAACTCGTAGTCGCTAACACGGCAGCTCTTGACGGGCTCGAGGGGCTTCTGAACGGTGGCTTCGACTAATACGAAACTTTCTAATCGGATACCACCGACCCATTTAGCCATCTGCTTGCTAACCGGCTTGCCCTCGGCGCTGGCCGAAATAACACCCTGAATAGACCAGTTGCGCTCTTCTCGTAACTCGACGAATGCCATCTTTGCACCCTGCATACGGGAGTTTTGAATCCACGCTCGTAGTTTCACGGATTTTCCGATATGCTGATCTCCCAAGTGCTTAAGCTGCACCTTTTCCGCGTCAACTTTGGTATTATGAGAAATATTGCCATAATTCTCCTTAGCAAGATCCTCGTTTCCTCCAGAAGCAGCCTTTTGAGCAGCAGCAGCAGCTTCTCTCTCAGCGGCCTTGCGTGCCTTTTCGGCTTCCTTCTTGGCCTTTGCTTCGGCCTTCTTTGCGCCCTTCTTGGATTGGGCGGGAGCTTCACCCTCGGCTGGAGGGGCAGAGCTCGAAGCTTGGGCCGGGTCGACGGGAGCTTCAGACATATTTTAAGGGAGGATTATGAGAGTGGTGAGTGGTGTGAATTCAATTGACGAAAGAATACGAAAACAAGATCGTAGAAGATCCCCCTTATATAAGATAAATACGTCGTCGGCGTGACAAAACAACGTAAGATGGGGTGACTGATAATTTATAAGTTTTGTTTTTTGGAGTCTTCCGGCGAAGTGAACGAGTTGAACGTGTGACGCGGGGCAATTTTCTATCCTTGGTGGGATGTCGGCATGGCGGGGCTTAGATTAGATAATTCAATTTACGAGATACATGGAAGTAACTTTGTAGTGTAGGAACGCTACGGTGGATACATCTCTTATATGAATATCTATATAGGATAAGAGCTAGGACCTCGACGGTTAACTGAATTTTTCTTCTCATCGGCAATTCTCATCGATAGTTCTCATTCTCATTCTCATTCTCATAATACAACCATCCAAAATACTCGACATAACATCCAATCTATAAATAGACACACGATATCGCAATCCAAAACTACCAAGGGGCGATATAATCATGGCAGAAACCCAAGTTCAAAGGCAGCAACCCGCAGCCTCAAAAGCCAAGTCCAAGAAACGTCCTCGCAATGACGAGACTTCTTCACGAAAACGAAGAAGGCAAGCCTACGAGGAGGATGAAGAGTATCTCGACTTGGAAATCGGCGTCAACAAGAAGCTCTCAATGATAGATAATCTGCTCCTGTCAGATCACATATCCAAGAAGATCAGGAGATTCGGAACGGACTTAAAACCCGTCGAGCTCAGCCAACTAGACATATCGCGTATGCTCAGCCTGCCCCGTATATTCCGAAGGGCAGATGCTAACGTGACGTTCTAGCGAATTACATCACAGACACCACGTCCTTCCAGGAGACGAGGAACCTAGAGAATCTACCACAATTCCTAGAGACGTTCGCAGACGCCAAGAAGTTAGGGGAAGCGCCCAAGGAGAACGGTGCACCACACACCATCATCGTCACCGGCGCCGGTCTGCGAGCCGCAGATCTCGTCAGGTATGCCTTTTCTTCTCCCTCGTTTTATCGCTCCTCTAGTCCCAGTATCAGTCCCTACTTACCAGGTATAGATCCGTTCGAAAGTATCAATCGAAAAACAACGCAGTCGCGAAACTGGTATGTTGAACGTATCCATGCCAACACAGGGGTCATCTCGGACTAATCCCCCTTCCAGTTTGCGAAGCACATCAAGCTAGAGGAAAGCGTGCAGTTCCTCCAGAAACACCGCACGGGTGTTGCTGTGGGCACTCCCGTTCGATTATCCGACTTGGTCGATAACTGTAAGTCTTCTCGTCTTCCTCTCGACCAGCCCCTTTTCGTAGGTCTGACAGATATATATAGCCGCCTTAAACCTTAGCAAGCTCGAGCGCCTGGTAGTTGATGCTTCCCACATCGACCAAAAGAAGCGCGGTGTCATGGACATGAAGGAGACTATGTTACCTCTAGCTCGGTGGTTAGCTCGGCAAGAGTTCAAGGAGCGCTACGCCGATCCCGAGAAGCCCCTGCAGCTACTTTTCTACTAAAGGGAGGATACACCATTGTGGCCAACTGGCAAGCCTGTTGGGCAAGATTTAGAGCTATCCAGACCCTTCGCAATCTCATGGAAGTAGAGGAAGGCAGTCAAAATATGATACCCCGCAGATCGATGAGTCTTTTGTTAGGTTAGGTAGGTAGTATTTGCATATAGACCAATCCACAGGGTAGGGGGCTACCCTATGGAATCTATAATTTTACTAGAATACAGCCAAATTGGAGTACCTATTCGTGAAATATGAATTCGCAATGGCTTTGGATAAGATACTGGCTGTCATCATTAGCAATCCCGACTACGTCTCTGGCTTTATCCATCAAGACTGACAAAGCTGATAAATGCGATTGTGATTTGTAAGTGTATAGACAATTACCAGCATGGCTAATTTTACGTGAGTGCACACCATCCGCACCCTAGAAAAGTTCTTCCCTCCTCTTAATAACACATTCCGATATCCACGTCGTAAATAAAATCGACAATGGGGAGATGTTCATTCTAACTCTAGTTGCCGCTCATGTCCATCCAGTAATCAAGCATGAGAACAAACGCGACCCACAATACCAAGCCAAAGAACGACGGTCTCGACCGAGCTCCTTCAGTTCCTTCAGACACGGGAATTACCCAAGGCCGGCTGATCGAGGACGTTGTTACCGCTGCCGCCGCCTGCGTTGTCTCTAGGAACGGACTGGGTGTTAGAGGAGTTGATGTGTAGGTGAAAAGTGAATAGGACACCGTAATGAAGTCCGTAACGGTGGTAGTAACTGTGATGGTCATTCCCATGCCAGCGCCAGCAACGCTTTCCTGTCTCAGTTGAAGCCCCGGTATCTCTTTGACCTCCCGGCGGGCAAGATAGTCTTCTTCACGGGACCTCAGGAGCTCAGTATCGACCATACCTGGAGCAACCATATAAATCTCAGCGCCAAAACTCATGCAAAGTAAAATTGAGTGGCTAAGAGCTGGGCCGTAGTGATCTGAATCGCATTGAGAGTATAGACATTGAAACAAGGACTGCAGGGAGGTAAGAATTAGTTATTTAGTGACAGGTCGCTATAGAGGAGAAAGTATTAACCGTCTGGTAGTCTTTCTGATTGCAGAGACACCTTGTATCGAGACACTGGGTCACAAACATGCTATCGATCATGCAGCGGGAGGCACAACCTAGCGTTATTATCAGCTAAATTATGCCATGAAGAGCCAGAAGGGGGTATCAAGAAAGGAGCTTACTGGGTGGTCCAGCTGGCATTTTGGTAATGCTATCGTTGCTAAACGCGACCGCAAGTTGCAACAGGGTCACGAAGAAAGCCCGTGCAAAAAGGAAATTTGCCAACTTCATCGGGTCCAGCTATTCGAGTAACCAGGATAGAAAGGTGTACGATGATAGAGAGTTATGTCGCGTTATGGGTTTCTTTTTGTGAGTTTTCTGCTTTTCTAGATTCCATAAATCGTATAAAGCGAATGACTGAAGACAGTAAGGATGATCACCAAGAAGATCAATCCGAAGAAGCGAATGTCGATATTGGGCAATCCAAACCAAAAAAGAGGGACTTGTTGAGATTTTGTGTTCTGATGTGAAAAGAAGAGATGGAAGAGTTGCGCAAGTTGTACGAGTTTAAACTCTGTTGCCCAGTAGGTCTTCCATTCACCAGTCTGGGAAGGCACGTCTTTTCTTTAATAAACTTACACATGCAAGAACGCTCCAGTGCCCAAAGCAAGAAGTATAGCTCTAGCGTATTTCAGGTAGGGAAAGCGAGGCGATAAGTCCCATGTTGAACCGTGACTTCTCAAAATGATAAACAAATGCCATCTGCCTGATACCTCTCACTAAAGTGTGTACCTTCCCATAGATAGTGTACCTAGGTATACATGTATCGATCCCTAGAAGAGCTAGCCAAACTTTCCAGCTAATTGGACTCCGATTGACGATGCAAAGGCCTAACATATTGGTAGAAGGAGGTTTAGAGCATTCCTCTTATTACCTATAGGAATTGGAAAATTAGTCCCATTTCCCATCAGTTATACTTTGACGTTCTCTTCTAGCTCCCCCGCATTTGGAAGATTAATAGGCATAATAAAATTAGAAGATGATAGGAATCTTGGGATACGAACAACTTGGTTAACAACAGCTTATACCACGCTTCTTCATATTGGGACCGCTTTGGGTTCGATGCAAGTCGATTGCCTATAAGTGACGGAATACTATCGTGGAAAAAAGAAAAACAAGAACTCGAAGATATCAAATTTAATTACTATGCACGCGGCCTTCAAAATGTATACATTGTTCAATGACATATCAGATCTAATTGGATTCGTTCGATAATCTAGTTCAAAAGGGACGACTGGCTGGCTTAAACACATAATTACTCACGCATTAAACGATCAAGTACCTAAGGTTGGGACTTAAGTTAACAGAAATTCGGAATATTTATTAAGCCTTAATATTAATAATATAATAGAACTATTTCCCTTATGCATAGGTATTATATTGACATGAAGCTGATAATATGTATCATTATTATCGGGTGGTGTCGTTCGTCTGTATATTCAGTAAATAGTGTAGCTTTGTTTTACAGATTACTAGTCTCGTTTCGCTAGGCCCTTTTTCTACGAATATAAACCAAACAAACTGCATTAATCCCTGCTGCAAGCAGATTGGCCGTCTGGCGAAATGGTATCGCGTCACTTTCCGGTATTCCGTGGAATATGGTGAAGATTGTGGGTTCGAGTCCCACGGTGGTCGTTTTTTTTTAGCCGCACTAAGCGTCTGACAGCTAATCATTGCATGAATAGCACTTGTATAGTGCATATATCAATGACCAACCAGAACATTGGAACACGATGATCCCAAACAAAGCTATCTTTTACCTTTTGCATAATACACTAACCTAAACTAGTAGATATAGTCATAGTATTTCGAAGTGCGGTGATGGTAGCTAGGTATCTACCTACCTTGGGGCACGTGGTATTGTGCACGAGTAAGGATAGGAATTAATTAATGGGAGTTACAACATTCAAACAGTGAGATGTTTCAACGACGTCAGATCGATATATTAAAACAGCCCACGGCCGTAAAGTAGCTACTTGATGAGTGGTACTCTAGAGAATTTAGGAAGGTAAGCCAGTGAGATTCTTACAAGATTAGGTTAGGTAGTTTTCCCTTGGGCCTTGGTCATTTTGCAGACGAGATGGCTGAGGCTTAACCTAGGGGTTTATCATGTGGTCAAAAGAAGGCAGTTTCAGGTACGCAGAGGCGTTGGATGATTATCTTACCCGGCTCTATGATTAGGTATTTGGGAGGTGGATGGATAGATCCGAGACATGGAACATGAACGATGAAGGAATCGAGGTAACAAATGCTTAATATGATATCCATATACTGTAGAAAGGACCCGGGAATGCATTTACCTAGGAAGTGTACCTATGTAGATAGGTATCTAATGTACATCGGGGTATTAATGTATCGACTTGGCACTAACTCCACCCGGCGAGCTAGTTAGTTACGGGGATCCACTAAAATTTTCTGTTCGAATTGTTATCGCGCTTGTGAATCTCTTATTGTACCAAAGAGCTGTCTACCGTCCTCAACAACTCTAATCACCTTGAAGACTTGCCATATTTCTGCAAGATACCTAGGTACTCGTCTACAAAACTGGCCTCCAGATATCCCGTCAATTTATTAATCAGTTTTCTACATATCGCAAAAATCAAAGACAAAATGTCCTCCAAGAAGCGCAAGTCAGAAGAAGACCCCACGACCACCACCGCCGCCGTGGGTAGCGACACAGGCAAGAAGCGAAGACGCTTAAGCGACGCAGACTCCGTCTCAGATAAGAAATCCAAGAAGTCCAAAAAGGATAAGAAGAGCAAGAAGGCCTCATCCAAGAAAGACAAGGAGCGCAAGCCCGTCACCTCTGGCGAGGACGAAGATGCCGCCGCAGACAACGCAGGGCTCGAAGCCAATGACTCGCCCGAAGACGTCCCCATGGAGGACGCTTCCGCCCCTGCCGTAGAGACCAAAACAGAAGAATCCCCCGAGGAAAAGAAGAAGAAGAAGAGCAAAAAGGACAAAAAAGACAAGAAGTCCAAAAAGTCCTTGAGCGAAAATAAAACCGAACCCGAGTCTAAACCCACCACCTCCACCACCGAAGACCTCACGGCCGCCGCCGCTGATGACGCAGAAGAAGGCGAAGAGGCCCAAAAAGGCAAAAAGTCGCGGTTCATAGTCTTCGTCGGCAACCTGCCCTACGCCGCGACCCAGGAGCAGATAAGCGCGCACTTCGCGGGCGTGCACCCCGTCTCCGTACGCCTGCTGCACGACCCGCGCACCAAGAAGTCCCGGGGCATCGCCTTCGTCGAGTTCGCGCGCTACGACCACATGAAGACCTGCCTCAAGACCATGCACCACACCACCTTTGTCAGCCCCGGCAAGGGCGGCAGGCCCGAGGAGCGCCGCATCAACGTCGAGCTCACCGCCGGCGGCGGCGGAAATACCTCCCACCGCAAGGAAAAGATCCGCGCCAAGAACGAGAAGTTGAACGAGGAACGTGCTAGACGCGCTCAGGAGGAGGCCAAGGCCAAGGCTGAGAAGGACAAGAAGAAGGGACAGGATGGGGGCGAGAAGACTGGTGGTGGCTTGGAAGATGCCATCCACCCGAGCCGTCGCGGGAGGGTCCCTGGAGCTGGGTCATGATACCCCAATTCTAGTTTTTACATATCTGTACCTGTTAACCTCAGTCTAATATCACATGCTTGCGAATCGACTTTAATATATAAGCGACAAAGCGACATGTCAAAATTTGGGGGAATATGCCGTGAAATTTGGATTCTTCTCGCAAACATGCTATCTACAGAATTGTGAAAAGGCGAGTTCGAATATGCTATGTGGGGGAAGTTTTGACTCTTGCTGCCGTCTAATTCGAAGGGGGATTTCCATGCAGAAATATTTAAACCCGATTTACCCTGCATGTCCAATCCCGACGGAGGCCAAGACGGTAGGGAACAAATAGGTGGCAGCGTGCCAGAACTCTTTAAAAAAAATACGGTATGATATGGTATATTCGCAGGCTCACGTATGCTCCCGATTCCTCACTAACTGCTTTCGACTTTGCAACTTGATCCTTTCCCCCTAACTCTCCTTCTGGTCGAATATATGGCCTGCAACAAAACGGCCACCAAAAACGGTTGGGTATGTAGATTTCAAAATGAGGGGACGCGAAATATGGGTAGTCGGCCAACTCGAAGATGCCTGAATACGTCGGTTCCTCATGGAGGATGGTAGTCTTTCCTATATGTCCACCAAAACGCCTTCGTTTCGAAAAACTTCCTGGCTCGCTCGTCCAATTTCAAAATTTCATAAGCGATAATGTTCTGTTGCTATGTGCTGTTTACAGAATGGTGCACTTGCTCTTCTTGGTGCCACCTTTCGTGGGGGCGGGTCGAGGGTTAAGGACGGCGCTGCAGATGACATGATTAGTACGTGGGCTAGATATTGGAAGTTATTATTCATCATACCGAATAGCCTCATCAAATACACTCTTCAAGTTCCGCTGTGTGAGGGCCGAACACTCGAGGTATTTGTGGGCACGGATTTCCTTTGCACAGACTAGAGCTTGGTCGTACGACACCGGTTCCATCCTCTTAGCTCGGAGGCTCTCTAGAGTGGCGGGGTCTTCTCGAAGATCCAACTTGGTACCAACTAGGATGATGGGAATGTTTGGCGCGTGGTGGTCAATCTCGGGATACCACTAATCCGAGTTAGCTACTTAATCTGGAGTAATCGGTCGAATGATTAGATGCTTTTCTGTTGTTTACATACCTTGGCCTTTACGTTATCGAACGAAGGCGGGCTTACAATCGAGAAGCAGATTAAGAACACGTCGGTTTGAGGATAAGAAAGAGGTCGCAGTCTATCGTAATCTTCCTGACCAGCAGTATCCCATAGTCCCAAGCTAATGGGCTTGCCATCGACCATAACGCTTGCCGAATAGTTGTCGAAGCTGCGCATCTGACATTAGTATCCAATTGATCCAATATACAATTTACGATAAGACAAAGAAACAGAGAGTACTAACACCGTAGGTATGTATTCACCAGGGAATGCATTTGTTGTATATGAGATAAGAAGACATGTCTGACATCGACGTTAGGTTTAGAACATAGCTAGAGTTGGTCGACATTGGCCAAGGATGGAATGGACGGACCTTTCCGACAGCACCGTCGCCCGTAACGACACACTATAGGGCAAACACACATTAGTATACTTGATTCATGATGCGGAATTCGTCTGGAGCGACATCGCCGACGTACCTTCAATGATTGAACTCCAGGGGCAGCCATTATTGGCGATTTTGGTATGTTAAATTCGATAAACCAGTGAAGGACGGGGGCTCAGTTGTCGACGGCTAAAGGAATTAACAATGTTAGTATTTGATAAAAAGATATATTGATTATAGTATGGAGATTATTCTGGAAGGACCTGCCGGCGACGGGACTATGTATGTAGTAGAAGAAGTGTAGAAGGGAGCTGGCGTTGCATAAGGGTTAGAAATGTTTTGACACAGGGTCGGAAGGGTGTGGTGCCGCAGATCGCAGGAGGTGGTGGGCGAGCTGGCAGAATGGCTTGTATGGCTTGTATGGGCAAAGTATTGGCAGTTATGGAGCACGGCGCTATGTTCCCAGTATCGTAGGACTGAACCGTACTGTACCTTTTAGAGCACGGTTCACACACTGGAACGATAGCTGGTTAAACAGTCCTGATAGGGTAGGTAGGCTGGGATAGGGTGCCCCGATAGGGATGCTGGAGCTTGAAATGTACTAGGTACGTGCTAGGTATGTGCTAGGGGGGTTGTGTGGGACCCTTTTTTTTTTTCATGAGACACTCAACGGTGACCTTGATTCGAAGGCGATTACCTTTCTTTTAGTGCTTGGATGTTCTAGCGCTTTGGTGATTGGGGGTTGGTAGTGGCGAGAAAGGTCTTGGTAAAGGAATTGGATAAGGCAGAACAGAATAGAATAGGTGTGGCGTCGACGGGATAGGAATAGAATTTCCTCTTACAGATGTGCAACTCTTGAAGGGATTCAAAAGGCCAAGGTCTTGCCACTTGAAGTCTTGGAAGGGGGGTTATTTTAGGCAAAGAATGGAAAGTAAAGAGGACAAGTAAACGATGTAAGACTGGCGGATTGGGGGAAAAAAGAAGGGTTAATGGGTTTAATGTTACAAGTAGTGGATGGGGCAGAATGAGACGATAATGGCGGCAGTTGGGGTCTTCTTGGGGCGTCTAGGTTTCTAAAAGCGACAAAGGATAGAAACGTTAATCACCTACCTGCAATAATAAGAGGTTGGCCGCTCTTTTTTTCGCTGAAGAGGTTACAATCGAGCGGCGCGTACCGAATCGGAGGTGCAAATCAAGCTATCATTCGATGTTCTGAGGAGAGATTATGTATTGGAGACCAATTGTGAGATATGATCTAAAGAGAGAGAAAGAAATGGCGTCGCAATCAATTTGAACCCCTATAATCCGGAAGTTATTAGCCCAGTCGGAAAAAGTTGTTGAAGGTGGAGGAGCCATCTAAGAAAGTAGCTTGGTAGCTACAAACTGCCTATTATGGTGGTACCTACCTAACCAGCTAACGTCTACGGGTTTGCCTGCTCAGGTGATGCCCGGGTACCGTGGGTAGGTACGTATCTGTACCTGTTACGTACTTCGATGCCTACTGAGTAACCTAGCTACATGGATGTAC